TTCTCTAACAAGCTTCCCGTGCTATTCAGTTTTCTCATGGAGCTGGTTGCTGAAAATCTCAGTGTTAGAAACTGATTTGATAAATGACAGCAACCCCGTTTTCCTTCTGATTGCCAATATTCTGGTAGTGTCTTAATGCTCTCATAAAAGGAAATATGCAGGAGGAATTTGAGACGATGTGAATAATTTTACTTTTTAAATTTCCTTCTGGAGTAGGTAGGTTAGTACTGTTTATGCTTTATAAAAGGTAGTGGACATTAGTTAACTCAAAAGAATGTTTGGGCAGTTAGTATGCTCAAGTTACAATATTCCTATTAGGAAAACTAGTTACCAGTTTTCAGCCACATTATTGTTTTCACAGATAAATTCAATCACTGATTTAAACTATTTTTCTCAAATAAGAAATGCAAGAAAAAAATCCTGGGACTGGAGAGAATTCAGTGTATTGTAGTATGCTCTCTGCCTCCTGGGGAGGATGTTTTCAAGTTCCAATGTCTAATGAGAAACTTCTGGGGTCATACAAGGGGAACTTAATTGCACTGCAGCAGAAGAGCACATGCATAAGGCATTAATAGCTGGAGATAGCTGGAATGTAAGAAAGTGAGGAGGAAGGCTCTTGCAACTGTAGGAGGACATGGAGAGCCTGGCCAAAATAAGTATGAGCAGAATGGAGGTGAAATGAAGATCTTGGTGTTATTGTATGTAGAAGATGAGAATTGCAAGCTATTGATGAGCTTGCTTGCCTTCTCTTCAGTCATCGTTTACAATTAGAAGCAAGAAAAATAACTAGTTTCAATTGTGTTTCAGTTTGGTGTCTAAAATTGTACGGTTGCAACAGTTCTTGAAAGCCATAAATGTATGTTTTAGTGAGAAGTTGCTCAATGATTTAAAATCATTTTTTCTTCCAAAGCTGTGTCATTCAATGGGTGTGGTGGACTGAAAGATGTGATTCATGCAAAACACTGGCTGAAAAGCATTCAGCATTTTGACCAAAAGCAATTTCTTGCACTTATAGGGCAGGAAACCAGGTATACTTTCAGTTCACAGGCGTGTTAGTGAGCTGTTTTAATACTGGGAGGTTTATGGTTGGTGGAAGTTTTGTTTGGACTAAGGATCGGTAGCACTTTGCTGTTGTTCTCTGTGTGTTGGCTGCCACCCAGTGGAATTTCTGCTTTCCATCTTGCTTTTTAAAACCAGAGTAACTGCCACAAGGATGCTTTAAAAGACCTATTTTGCATCTATAAAAAACAAACACTAAAAAAGTAACTTCATGCACGAGGGAATGCGTTAGGGAAGACTGGGCAAGGCAGCCTGAATTCAGGTACGTCCTGCTGTCTGAGCGGTTGACGACAGCGTCTTTGAAGATTTCAGGTTGTTTCACATCTTAGCTCTGAATAAAATGTTTCTGAGAATTTAAGGAAATCTTTGTTTTAAACTTGAAAATGTGTTCATTTGTTTTGCACTTTAATTTCGTGGATGGGTAAATTAAGAGGAGTTATTTTTTCTTGAGAGTATACTTATATACAAGTCTCAGTGGTTAATTTTTGTCACGATGCTTCCACTATGCCAGTGTTTAATATTGTTATACTTAAAGCATAAGAGCACCTGATTCCACCTTATTTGTCTTTTAACATATGAAAATAATTCTTTACCAGATACTTTCCTGCTGTTAGCAGGTCTTTCTTAATTAGAAACGTTGGTGGGAACAAACTAAAGTTTTTGAATTGACGGCTAGTGCTAATTCAGACAGCTTTCACAAAGAAACACGGATGAGTGTGATGGTGGTAAAATACAGATTTTATGAACAAATACAGTATTTAAGAATTTTTAAACTTGCATCTGTAGCCTGCTGTTGCTTTTAATTTGCATGTTATTAGCCATTTAGTATTTATACTCTGATATTTGAACTACGTAAGTTTATTTATTTTTTTTTTTTAGGTTAAAATGGGTTTACTGGTAGACTTGACCAACACCACTAGATTCTATGACAGGAATGATATAGAGAAAGAGGGGATTAAATATATAAAGCTCCAGTGTAAAGGGTAAGTTGTCTGCACCTTTTTTTTTAATATTTAGCTTTTAATTTGAAAGATCACACTGAAGTAATGAATCTTTTTTTTCTCTCTTCCCTTTTCCCCCAGCTGCCTCCTAATCTGTGTGTTCCTGTGTTTTTTCAGGCATGGTGAGTGCCCTACACCTGAGAATACAGAAGCATTTATCCGTGTATGTGAACACTTCAGTGATAAGAATCCCTCAGAGCTTATAGGTATGCCTTCTTATATCCGTTCTTATATCCACCTTATATTCGTCATTAGTTTTTACTGTTCATTTATTTCCTATTTACTCATAAATTCAGTCCCTTATTCTTAAAAGTCTAAGCAAAGAAATAATATGTATAAACGTGTATAAACAGTGTTTATACATGTTTAGATTTGATTTGTTTTACTCCAGAAATGGGTATGTTTCTGTTTTTTACAGAAACTAGTCTGTTTCTGCATCCATCAGTTTGACTACAGCTATTGACTCAGTGTGGGAAAATATACAGGCTTAAGAACCTTCTACAAATACATGATACTTGCATTGTGTTTTTGTAACTTCTGCTGATACAAATACAGGTTATGTATTGCCTAAGTATTGGTTTGGCATTTGGTGGTCTGGCTTACTTGGAAGTCATATATGACAACTGAATGATCAGAGATTCTTTAGCAAATCTCACAAAGCAGTTGATTAATTGCTGGAAACTGGTGGTAGATATTAGGCTAAGTTTTTCTGCTGTGGTGTACTGTCTTGCAGTGAATATTTGAATGTTCTTAAGAATTTTTTTTTTTTTTTAAATCTAGAGCAAAAAAGTTCTCAGTTTAATTTGGGTGGCTTCTAGTTTTAGTTAAAACCATTTTATTCTGATTTCTGTTAAGCATATTAATGTTTAACTGTCTCTGCAAACTGTCAGAGACAAGAAATTACTTTGCAGCTGTTTCCAGAGTCAGAATGAGTGTTGTCCTCAAGCCTCTTTCATGATAATTCTGCAGCCTTCCTGAATCTGAGTGTTTGTGTGACTTAGGAGTGCATGGAACAGTTGTTTGTGTAGGTGTCATTGATGAGAGCTTGGTAAACTAAGCTGGTACGTTCATACAGTTTAGGACTCGTACAGAATCATAGAACTGTACAATAGTTGAGGTTGTTGGAAGGGACCAGCAAGTCAGTTGCCCATCCTTAGAGCAGGGCCAGCTGAAGACTGCCCATTTGGGTTTTGACCACCTTCAAGCCTGGAGACTCCACAACATCTTCTGGTCACCTCTTCCACTGTTTGCTCACCCTTAAAATATACAGGTTTTTTTCTTACATTTAAACAGAGGTAATTGTATTTCAGTTTCATGGAATCATAGAATTGTAGAATACCAGGTTGGAAGGGACCTCAAGGATCTGGTCCAACATTTCTTGGGAAAAGCATGGTCTAGATAAGATATCCCAGCACCCTGTCTAGCTGAATCTTAAAAGTGTCCAATGTTGTGAACTCCACCACTTCCCTGGGGAGGTTATTTGAATGGCTGGCTGTTCCTGTGAAAAGTTTTCCTCTTGTGTCTAGTTAGAATCCCCCCAGGAGTGATTTATACCCATTACCTCTCATTTTTTCCATGTGACTCCTTGTGAAAAGGGAGTCTCCATCTTCTTTGTAGCTGCCCTTTAAATACTGGAATATGGTGGTAAGGTCTCCCCTAAGCCTCCTTTTGTCAAGGCTGGACAAACCCGATTCTCTTGGCCTTTCCTTATATGGCAATCTTCCCAGTCCTTTGATGATGTACCCATTGCCTCTTACCCTGTCGCAGGACACCACTGAGAATTTATTTTTTTTTCCCCAGTGCTTGAGAAATTTAATTTGGGCACCAGTTTTTCACATAGTTTTTCTTTTAGTTACTTTCTTATTTCTTTATTTCACATAGAATGCAATTTTAATTTGAGACCTTTATTTTCTTCTCTAAATTGTAATGCAAGTATGTGACACGAAAAATGAGGCACTGCTAAACGAGAGTGAGTGGGATCAGTCATCAACACTATTTCAGAACTTGCACCAGAGCTTGAAATACTGTTGATGACTGACCCAACTCACTCCTATTTAGCAGTGCCTCATTTTTCACTCTCCTTTTGCAGTTCCCTCACTTGGTCCTCCAACAGTATTTCAGAACTTGGAATATTGTTATGGTCAGGAATTTAGATGGAGCTTTGATAGAATGGTATTTAACTGGTATTTCAATTTTTAAAATGCCATTTTTAGTTTGTAGTCACTAACTTTTTGACTTCTGTGAATTTTGGAATGTTCTTCCATTATTTAGACTGTTTCATCTCTATGGGAAAAAGTCAATTAGAAAGACTCAAGAAGAAAAGAATGTTTTGACTAAGCTTTTAAGTAACCTCCGGTTTAGGATTTCATAGTAAAAGAAAAATGTTGGGATTTTCCATTTCCTTTCCATAAATTACTGAAAAGTTGTTTCTAGTTCTGGTCACTTGTTTCCTCTGACAGAGCATCAGAGGAACTGGTGTGGAGGATGTTTTCATCAAAAGCGAAAGCAGCTTGCGGCAGTGATAGTACTGCACCCGGTGTGATCTTTCCCTTCCAAGCCGTTGGTCTCATTGCTGAGATGTGTCCGATCTTTGTCATGTGTCTAGAAGTATTGACTTAACCTTTTTGGTAGCACTAACAGCTGCGGGACTTACGGGTAGCAGTTGTGTGCAATTTCATTGCCGGTGTCAGGATTAGCTATGAAAAGAGACCGAAATGTGAATGATAAGCAAACAAAATTTTCTATTCATCGAGAACAATATAGAATGGAAACTTGATTTTTGCAGCTTGAAGGACGGGAGTATGCCTGCCAACCTTACAGAAACAAAATGCAAAAATTTTGCTTAAGCAGAAAACAAAGGAGAAATGATTGCTGGGAACAAACTCTATAAGGAAACTAAAAAGGAAACAAAAATTCATTTCATTTGATGCAAGTTACACAGTTATTAATATTACTAAATGGTTAGAATGGATGAATCCAAGGAATTCATAGTAGCTTTTGCCTTGCTTTATTAAGAAGGGAAGCTTGGTGGGGTGGGCACAAAAGCTGACCCAGATAGAGCTGATACATATTCCCGTTTACCCAGTTTTTATTAGTCTACTCTTTGTACATGGTTTTTTGATCTCCAGTAAAAAAAAAATAAATACTTGCAGTGTATAGATAAAAAGATAGATATTCACGTTTTGTCTGGATAAGCATCAAGTGGATTGTGGCTAATCTTACTTTACTAGCTATGGTAGAGAAATAAGGAAATCAATAAAAGCTTAAGTGACTTGCTTCATGGTCACAACTGAAAAATATGTTAATATTAAGAATAATTGCATTTGGTGTTAGTGGAAGCTTTAATACTCCGATATTTATAATTTAAAATGCAGTATGGAGAAGAGGTAACAATTTGCCTGAATCGTTCATGACGGTTTTAATAGCTTAAATTTTCGGAGGGGTTTGTTCATCACTAGATGGTGCTGTTGCCTTGAGAGAAAAAAAAAAAAGTTCATGCCTTTGACTCTTCTTTCTTTGGGGAATGAATTTGGTAAAATAGAGGCTGAAGACTTAATTCTTCTTTTCTTATATTGAAAAGATAAGTAATTCCAGGTGATTATACTGTTGTATAGTTTTCTTTTTGTAGGTTATTTCTCTAAATCAGTAAGTCTGGTCTTAGCATGGTAATAGCAAATTTTAAATAGAATTGTGGTCTGTAGACACCTCTTGCAAGTTCAAGATGGGGTAACCTGGATATGATTTCTATGCCTGGTGGTGTGAAATGGATGTAATGCTTGTTGAATCTACTGAAAGCACAATTACTGAATTTGATTGTATTGGCTTCTGATAAGCATTTGAGCAGTCATTAAAAAAATACTTTGGATCTTATCTGTATTAGCCATATTTCAGTTGCATTGTTAGTGCTCTTGAGTTGGGATAAACTGAAGTATCCTATACTCTTGTTGCTAATAATTTGCAGAAATAATATAATAAATTTCTTTTTAGGCTTATGTGCCTTGCATGATCTGGGCTGCCTTGATGGGAAGGGAGATGACTCTTTAATAGTTACTGGTGAAGGTAGAAGGATCCAAAACCACACTTGTGAAACGAAAGCATGTTTGTTACTTACATCCTTTTCTTTCCTTGTCTAGGTGTCCATTGCACACATGGTTTCAATAGAACTGGATTTCTGATCTGTGCCTTTTTGGTCGAGAAGTTGGACTGGAGGTAACTTTGAATGTTAATTCCTAGGGATTTGTGGAGAATGACCTAAGGCATGCTCAGTATGTTTCACTCATTGTCCTGACAGTTATCCTAATGTATTCACTGTTTGTTATTTTCAAACTGCCTACTAATCTTGAACAAACAACCTATGTTAACATTATTCATGTTGTCCCTTGGTTCCTTAGCCTGTTTGAGTCAATCTTTCCAGGTCTGGAAGGTCAAAAGTCGGCTGTGCCTGCTGTGTATGGACTTTTAGGAGTGTGTATATTGTATTGTGTCTCTTCCCTGTGACATGTCCCACACTTTGAGTAAGAATGTAGCGTTCAGAGATGCCTGAAAGATTATTTCTCTTACTTTTTCATCTTTTTCGTGTAGGTTTATGTGTAGGCTTTTTTTTTTTTTTTTTTTTTTATTTCTGGAAAGATTAGCTAGGGCAACAGCAGTGACATACTTGCTTCTGCAGGGTCGGGGGGAGACAAAGTCCTTGTTTCCAGCTTGTTTGACTGAAGTCTACAGCATGCTTCTATACAGACTCACCTGGGGGGTTTTGTGATTTAAAAATGTTGGTGCCTTCATAATGACTAGTGATGTTTTTCAAATAACATTTGTGTAAAAAAAGAAATCGCTTGTACTATGCTGGTGGGCATGACTTTTGCATGTTTGGTAGTGCTCATGAAACACTATTTCCTTGTTGATGGGGTCTCGTGCAAGGCATGTTTCTTAACAAGCCCCTTAAGCATTCTGAGGATATTTCTTGCATGGTCTTTTAAGTGGAGAAGATTCTACTCCGATTGCAGCGTTTTCTTATGGCTGGACCTACAGTTATTTGGTGCTTAGCACGTTGCAAAGAACTAGGTCATTGTTGTCTATTAGTAAACTTGGAATAAAGACATTGGAGTAACGGAGACAGAACATTATTAGTAGTGGGTGGCTGAATCTTGGCAGAGTCTTAGCTGACTATAGGAAGTAGACACAGCTACAAATATCTTTGTAGTGTGCTTCTAGTTGTTCCTATAAACTAGCAAATTTGTATGATTTTAATCTAACAATTTAAGTCACGTGCAATGCACTTGAATCTTTTAGAATCTCCTGCTTTTATGCAGCCTCTCTTTATTTTCAAGCGTCTATGTGAAAAGCTTTAAAACCTAACAGCCAGGTCTTTTTTTTTTTTTTTTTTTCCTTCATTCAGGTAGTGAATTGTATCAAGTTTGTTCATCTATGTCAGTTGATGTTTTTTTTTTTAACAGAGCGTCCGATGTAACCTGGTAGGGAAAAATGTCCACAGCAAAAGAATGAATTTCAGCAAGGTGGTAGTTAATGCTAAGCATTATATCAAGATAAATGCGATTTGCTGTACCATTCTTTAAAGTAAGGCACTGTTACTTGCTGATGAGAAAATAAGATTTTCCTGATGGAAAAATCCATCCGTATTCGTTTCTTAAGCATATGATATAGGAGTGCTGCTGATGTCTTGTGAATACTGAAATGTATTTTATAGTTAAAGAAAGGTTGTGCAGACTGAAAGCTTTCCAGCTAGTGATCAGAAGCCTTACTTGATTCTCTTTTTCACAACTCATTGTTCCCAAAGACTACTTTGTTTCCAGAACTTGCAAAATGTGGTTTCTTTTAGCTAGGCGTGTGTGCTTGAAATCTGTGCTGCTTCTTTCGGCTTTCTTTGCCGTCTATTCCAGAATAGTATAGAGTTCTTCTAATATCATTGGAGACAAATTTGAGCTTCTTTCAGGCCCCATCCCTTTTGGGGGGAATTTTGATTTGTCTTTTCAATAGCATTGATTACAGAAGATGGGAAACAACTGAAGAAAGATACCAAAATAAAAATGTCTTGTAAGGAAGAAATTAGGAGTTTTAGAAACAGAATGGGGAAGAAAGCTCCTTCTAAACAACTCAGATTCTTAAACTGTAATTTCTCAGATCTGATGACTGGCTATCTTATAGTCTCACTCTGAAAAATGTTTTGTTGTCTACTTTTATCAGAAGATAGAACCAAACTTGCTGGTTATTAGGAAATGCTTCTAGCTTATTCTGGGAAATTTGCCTCAAAGTTCTTGGGGTCCTTCCCATACTGTACAGATCAGACAAAAAATGCCTTTTGTATTTAAATTCTTTTTTTCCATTTTAGCGATATGTTTTCTTTGTTCCAATGGCAGGCTATTTTCTTATCTGAAAAAAAATTATTTTCACAGCATGTAATATGTCCTTTTGTTCCAGCTTTGAGAGATATGCTTGTCGAGAAGCCTGACAGGGACATGTACCTTTTGTGATTTCTCCTCTCTTATTTAGCAAGATTTCTAAATGTTGATACATGGAGCATTACTGTTCCACACAGCCATAAGTTGAAGACAGAATTATGTCCAGTGTTTTCTGTTAAACGTTTTCATAGGATCTATGAAAACAACAACAATAAAACCGCTGTGCTCGTTGTTGTATATGTTGGAGAGCAATCCAGTCGGCTAGTAAAGGTGCGTGACTGTTCGTTTAGGTTTCCAATTTTTTTGTGATCCAGTCTTCCATTTATTAAAGCACTTAATCTTAAGTGTTACCTGCATAACTGTCACAAGTTAGCTCAAACCAGGACATTCATAAAAGGCTTCTGAATTACATTTTTTTAATGAGAAACTTCTGGAAAGAGAAGTAGTTTCAAAGATTAGGATGCTTTTTCCCAGTGTGATGGTAAAACCTCTAATGAAAGCAAACATAATTCTTAGAGGGGAAAAATGTAGCCATATTTGAATTTCAGCACTTGCGTTTTCCTTCCTTAAGTCTGGTCATCTTTTTCCTTAGTCTTTTTTTGTCTTCATTCAGTCCTTAAGTACTTACCTATGAGTCACCCGTTCCTAGCAATAATAAAAGTTTCACCTAGGTGACCAGCAGACCACTATTAGCTTCAATAAGGAGATGAAGCAGCACAAGCTGCAGTAAATTCTGAAAACATGCACAGTGTCTACATAATTATGCAGAATTTTGTGCAAGAGCAACTGTTGCCAGGCTGATTTAAGCATGATTTTTCAAATATAATGAATATTTTTGTGATTACCAGTTTGGAATTTGTTTTAATTCTCAGTCCCAACAAATCTTATGATTGGTAAGGCATAACATGACTGAAACATGTAAATTAAGCATCCAAAGTAATTTTCAATTTTTATTTACAGTATTGAGGCTGCTGTGGCTACTTTTGCTCAGGCTAGACCACCAGGTATTTATAAAGGTGACTATTTGAAGGAATTATTTCGTCGTTATGGAGATGAAGACGATGCACCGTCACCACCTGAGCTACCAGAATGGTGCTTTGATGAAGATGAGGAGGAGGATGATGATAATGGTAAAACAGGAGGCCAAGAATCTGAACCTGGGTCATCAAGCTCTTCCTTTGGCAAGAGGAGAAAAGAACGCCTAAAACTGGTATTTTTGATCAAGAACTTAATATTCTAATTGCTAAACTTAATTTCATAAACCCCTAGCCATGAGTTACTACATAATAAATGCTATACAAGTGTCAGTGCTCTTGCAAATGAGGACTGGTAGCATTGTCTCTAACTGGGAAAAACTGGTAGATTCGTTTCAAGCTTTCTTGTTTCCTGTATGAACCTTGAACTTTTAACGTTCAACACCTCAACTATTGCAGTTGTAAAAATGACTTAATTTTTTTTTTTTTAAGTTCAGTTGAGATAGTAATGCACTTCTGATTATTCACTCTATCTTTAGAGTGGGAGTGTGTGTGTAAACAGTTCTTACTTATTTTTTTGTAGCCGTGTGGATGAAACTCAGAATTTTTTTTCAATTCAGTGCTCTTCTGATTAAATATTCTTACTTTTGGAAATTTTGGAGGATTGAGAAATGGATTAGCAAAAGCAATAGGAGCTTAAAAACCTCAAGACCGCTTTGAAATAATATTTTGTTAAAGCTGTTTTAACTGAATAATAATAAGAAATATGGCTGATCACTTACTGTGATTATTTTGACATACATCTGCATAATTCTGATGGAATAAATTGCAGGAGTTGCCATAGTACTATAGTATGGAACTAATTCTCAAATACAAAGAATATACTTGTATCTCCTGAAGACTAATGGCTCAGTTCTCTCCAAATTGCTTACTTTTTTTTTTTTTTTTTTTTTACTTGCAGAGAAAGTAGGGGAGAAATGTTGCTGAGTGCAAAAATAGATTCAGTTCTTTTTGCATAATACTGAATTATTTCACTTATGTGCTGAGGTGTTTTTGTTTGCAAACACTTGGAAATCCTCTCATGAAATATGCTGCATAAATGCATTTTGTTGTTACTGCAGCTGCTCAGCATGGTTTACAGATGGAGTATGGAAGAAATTAGCCTGAAAGGAATACAAAATCTAGTCCAAAGCAGCAAGATGAATTTTGAAAACTTTCAAATATTCCATCAGCTACAATAAAAAACTGCCCACACTGTAAATATCTATAGTGAAAATATTTTCAGGGATATGGCCACTACCTCCATTAGCCTTGCAGTAAACCATTGATATCTAAAAAAATGTGTTTGAGCTGGAACCTCAAAACTGTTTTTTTGACTTGCCTTTTGATGTGTTACCAAATGAGGTGTGATGTCAGCCTGTCCAATGATAGCCTGTCTTCAGCAAGTATAAAACTAAACACCACTGTTTAACAGGGATCATGATACTGGCTTTCCAGGCTTTTTCTTATCTACCACCATATTTTTTTTTTTTTCAAAGCTGGAAGCTAAATTATACGAATAAGCATATTAATAACTAAAAGTTAATTATGAGTTAGAGAATTTATGAAAGAAGGAATCATCTAGTTAATATGCATATTCGTATAATTCAGTTTTGCAGCTCTGGAGGAACATTCTTTGACATGAAGAGGAGGAACGGGGAGAATTCTTTACCATTGTTCTTGGCTGGCAGATTGGACTGCTTCTTAACTCAGTAGAGATGGATACAATCTATTTGTGATTCCTTGTAAATATGCGATCTACAAGGGGAATGATTACCAGGTAAATACCTCTTGCTCAGATTTTTTTATTTTACTGTCTAAAGGACTAAATTTTCAGCATTACATTGATTTTCTGCGGCACATGTTTTCAGCCTTCTAATTTGACTCTTTCTGTAAACACCTAGGGGTAGACAGTGCCAAACTAGAGGTGGCTGTGGTGATAGCAGTGTTCTGAAATGTTTTGGTTTTGACCCAAATCTTTGTGGGGTCAGGAAAAAAGTTTAGAGGTAGAGGGGGAGACACCTCCCGTGCATCATGCTAGGTTAATGAATACCCAGAAGCAACTGCCCAGCTAGCCTGCAAGTTGAAGTTAGCGTGCTATCTGTTTCAGAAATTCCATCTTGGATGTGAGAAACTTTACTGCAACGTATTTCACTAAAACTTCCATATTTTGATGTCAAAAAGTCTTGACAGCCTTTCTTTTCTGCACTACAGAAACTGTGGGAACCATTAGAACATAATGCCATCACAGTTTCCTTTGTCATCACCTGAATGTAGTTGGCAGGTAACAGCATATCTGTTTGCTGTAGTCTCAGGTGCTACACAGGAAATCCAAACACGTTTTGACTTTGTCGGTGCATGCCATAATGATTGTAGCGTTGAAACAACATTAACTGACACTTAGAATCTCCCTTCAGGAAAAACAATCTTCGGGGAAAAAAATACCTGATTTTGCAAACAGGACAGAAAGTTACAATTCTGAGCCAGAACCTTCAAACTTGTCCTGGGTCAACCAGATCTCTTACTGTTTTTTAATGAATATTATCTGTTCTAGTCCCATGTAAACTGCGTGTTTCACAGGCGTTACGGGGTGTAATACGTAGTGCTTCCAAAATGGATGGCTGCATCTCAAACAGTCTGGATGAGATGGTAGCTGTTAACGATTTTCTTCATGATTTTGAGTGCAGGTATTTTGTGGTCATCTGTGAGACAGAGGGAAACTGTTAAACCTCATGGTTGACATAGGTAGTGTTATAATATTTATTATTTAACTATCAAAGTATGTTGATTCTAAATATTAGTGTCTTTGTATTTTTCTGTCTAATTTACTGTTTTGTTGAAGTGTAACCCCTGTGCCTATTCTGCCCATGGGCATCTTGATGGGTATGGGAAAAAGATTATTTTCTGATTTTGCAGGATCATTCTATGTGCTTGAATATGGGTATAATTTCCTTTTAGCTTTCTCTTTCTCCACATTAACTGCCAATTTGTTCACGTTTTCCCTGTAGTCCATTATTTTTCACTGTTCTGACCGTTCTTGTCATTCTTTGTATTCTGTCGTGTTGGCTCATGTTTTTCTGAGACTGTGGTGCCTATAATCAAACGCAAGCCTCTAGCTGAGACCATCCTAGCGCTTAATAGGGAGGAATTAATTTCACATGTCTTAAGGCTAATGATTCTGTTTATATATCTCAATATAATTGCCTTTTACAGGACAGAATAGTACTAATTCAGCTTTTGGTCTCTTGCTGTCTCCATATATTTTTCTCTAATTATCTACCAGTGTGTGTTTCTATAATTGCTTATTCCTTATTGAGTGTAGAACTTTGTTTCTACTGAATTGAACTTCAGTAAAAAGTGTTTTTTCCAGCCCATTCTTAATTTTAAGGACAACCCTGTATTCTTAAGCTACAATCGCAGTCTGTATCCCTGTTACTAAACTCACAGGTGTCACACAAATAAGAATATGCTAATAGGAAATTTAAGGAAAGTAAATTAATTCCCTTATACCTAAACCAGATGCCACAGATCCTTCTCAATATATTCTTCCATTTTGTTAGTGGAACGCTAACTCCTCTGAACCCAGTTTTGAAACAGATTGCTCTTCTGTTTTATAGAAGTTACATCTACCCCATGTTTTCTGAGTTCCTCTATGAGAACAAGACAAGCAAACAAAAGACAAGCCAAGACAAACGGCAGCATCAAAAGATGTGATATTTCCTGCTTCTCCCAATTCTGTGAAGCCTTTTGCATCACCAAAACCAAATGATTAGTTGAACATCGTTGTTACTGAGTAACAGTCAGTATGATTTTGTTGTATCTTTTTTGCTTGTACATGCTTAGAGGCAGTTCTTGTGATTTGGTCCTGTATTTCTAGGTATTAAATCTGAGCTGATCAGTGTAACTTGCTGGCTCTCCCTTTCTCTCTTTTAGAAGATGCGGACTGTGTCTCCTTGACATGTTTTGGAATGTTTTTTGTTCTCTGGAAGGCAGTCTCTGAGCATATTGGCACTCGGTCAGGTCTGAGTCGCTGAAGATGGCTATCACCTAGGCCTGGTGATAGCCACTAGGGTCAGGGAGGTGTGTGTTTGGGGCTATTCCCACACACTCACTCCTCCAGACGGTGTTTAGGATCTGAACCAACACAAAATGATACACGTTGCCACTTCTCCTTCAGCTGAAGTGATGGGTGGAGGGATATGGTGGCAAGTGGGGAGAGCTTGATTAGCACAGATGGTGTGAAGGTTGTGCAGGGTGTAGATACTAAGCGCATGTAGTTACCTTGGATCCGTTAGGGCGTATAACTCCTGGCTTTGTAGCAGTGCTGAGGAGTTGAGGTGCTCTTGTTGATCTGAGTGCTCTGGCATCTCTGCACCATGTTCTCCAGTGTCCTGTTTCTGTGAGGGGCTGTTAGCTCAGCAATGGTGCAGAAAGTGCCTGGATCTGGCTCTGTTTTGGCACCTTATCCAAGGAAATGTCCTCGTGAAACCTGGAGCGCTGAGTTAGCCAAGCATGGATGCCCAGGTGGCTCACCTTGTTTTCATAGTGCTGTGCCTTAGCTAGGGAGTATACTTGAGGCAAGTAGTCTGCAAGAGAGAGACGCTCTCAAATGGCAGCCACCAGTTTCATGTTTATGACTCTTTCTTTTCTGGAAAATCTTTCCTGTTACCTGCCTTTTGCTTGAATCTTAGCAGTCATACTGCCATCACGCTCTGCCATTCTTCTGAGAAGCAAGACATAACCATCTTCCTTTAATTCATGGTGCTTTTAACCACTTACTCAGAATTCAGACAACATGCTGGCCAGACATGTGTAGCTATCTGCCTCCCTTGCCCGGTCACCTGTGTGCTCTTGCACCTGCTGGTGCCCACATAAATAATATGGGATAGGTGATGTGCTGAAAGTCTGTAGAGCTTAAGGTAATTAAAGTTATGAACTAGCATATTTCTTTAGGCCGTACTGTTCTCGGAATAAGATTTGGTGATGGAACTGAGCCAATCTTAACTAAATGCAGGCTGTACTGAAAATTGTGGTCCTGCTTTCCCTGCACTCCTTGTGTTCCTTCTGCTTCCCTTGTGCTGGCACTAGTGTTGACTCATCCTATGGTGAGCTAGTTTAGGATACTACTTTGGCAGAAAATTACTAATTTATGATGTTATTTTTGCCAACTTAGTTCCTAGACTTGCTCAAGAGTAGAACGGATGAGTGGCACGGTGTGTGGAAAGAGAAGGGAGCAAAAAGGCTCCTTTTATCAGTAGTATGCAGCTAGATTTGTTAAGGCAAGTTTCAAGCATTTTAGAGAACAGATACGAAATACTTGTATCTTCATTTGCAGGATTCATAGCTCAACAGACGAAACTTCCTGCTTTGATCTTTGTCTGCATTGAGAATTTACTTGAGATGCTGTTGAAATAAGTCTGGTTGATTTGGGATTTCTATAGAAATCTTTAATTTTGTAGCTTTGTAGGCCTGATGGCTTTAATTGTGCTGTTGTGCAGAATTTGTTTTTATTCCACTTGGCATCAAACTTTTTCTGGAATGTACAAGTTAGTTTAGAGTCGTTTTCAGTATTCTTTTATTCATCTCTACTTAGGCTTTTCTGTGGCAATCAGGATAGCATCTTCACTTTAGTAACCTGGTTTAGATTGAGAATAAAATTATGCAAGTGTATTTTTACACAAATATTTTATTACAAACAAGCTGGTTTTGTTTTCTGTTTTGTTAAGAAGTTTGTCCTTGATCAGCTGAGAACCCTTTAAGTTTGCTGCTGCATAAGTACATTCATTCTTTCATTTGTTTTCCCTTCAGAGTAAGTTTAAGTTTTGAGATATGTAACATGGTAGATCACCCAGGTAGAGGTGAAATCCATGTAATTGAACTTCTACTGAAATTGTCGTCAGCCCATCTTGATCTGATAAAATTAACGTATTTGATTGAAAATATGTATCTCAAAGGTTTGGAGGGAGAAAAGTAGGACTTAATGCCTTCATCTGCTGAGACTTTTTTTGTTTAAAACACTCCCTGCTGCCCCCCC